AAAATTCGCATAATACTCGAATAATATCGATAATCAATTCGACTCCCGATAAAATAGTGTTTTCAAGATATGTGAAACGAGCGCGTGAAAACAATAGGAATAAAATGGTGAATTATACATGAGACATTTTGTTGATTAGAAATTGTACTCTTATGTTGGATTACAATGGTCGGATTAGAATTTATTTTAGTGATAATTAAATTTATGAAAATACGCGGCCGGTAATTGAGAATATCATCGAAATCAAGCGTTGAATTATAGGGATATTAATTATTTTATAGGCCACGAGATAATAAAATAAAATGCATTATTTTATACGGGAAGACACGCGCGTCATCGGCAATAAACGAAGTATATTAAATGTCGAGTGATATAGGAATAGATAAAAATAAGCTAAAATTAGTCGATCGTATTACCATAGTGGGGATAAGTAACGTACGAGTTCTTTATTACGAATAATAAAATGGCGTTAAAATGCAACGAATAGAAAAGATTCTACAATCGGCAATTCTTTATGATGACACGCATATAAATTGAAAAGATAGTTAGAGTTTCAAATTAATAACTAGCGCTAGATAATACGAGACGCACACGCGCGCATGATGTACGGTAAATACGTGAGTGTGTAAGTGCCCTTCATAATCGATCGGCATGCCCGGGCTGTGTGATATATTAAGTGGAAGCTAATGTTTGCACCGGAAAAATCTTTAATTAATGACGAAGATGAAAGGCCAGCGTTATGCCTTACCTACTGCCCATTATTAAACCTAAGGTATTCATATTTAAAGGAGGGGCGAAGGGGGGAGGGGGAGGGTAGAGGGGCGATAAGGATGATGGGAGAGGAATGGGGGAGGAGAAGGAGGAGGAGATAAAAGGAATGAAATCTCCATATCTCAATGTGAAATAATTCACGCCTCGTTGGTGAGAATAGTCGCCAATCGCGTCCCAAGGTTCGTCGACCCGGGGGGAAGAGCAGCATCTGCCCGCATGTAAAGGGGAACATGGCCGCGCGCTTAATTTGCCCGTCGATCTGCATCTTGCGACGGCATCACAGGGTTGGAAATCCCATTAGCGTCTCAATACCCTTGCGGCAAATGCGTAATGCGCGGCCTACGTCGTAAGTCGGCTGCTCGCCATTCGTCCTTTGCCCTAATCTCATTTGGCCGAGACACTGGCCCGGCTCCCGCGGTCGACACTCCCAATCCCGCACTTTCGACAATAATCATTATTATCGCCCGCATTGGCCAACCATGTAAACCTCGTACGAGAACCCGAACGAGGCCTTATTTTTTCGTCGCGACTGTCCGACTCGACTTGTGCCAAACTCTCTTTTATTAACTTATTTGTAGCCGGAGGTACGACGAAGTTTGCCCCAGCGGTCGCTCGTCGATTATAATAAATCATAAATAAACCGGAAAGGTATAATGAAGCCAGACGTTAAAAATAATAATACACGGGCCATCGAATAGGACTCGAGACGGACTCGACGAGTAGAGGTAAAAATTTAAAAGCGCCCCGCGTTTCCTTGATAAGCACATACACTTATAGGATCGTGCAATAGCGCTCGGACAATATATTACGATATTCGCGCGTAAACGGTAATATATCTCGGTGTCGGTGACCACGGGAAGGTTACTCGGGACAACCAAGGTGGAGGCCAGGAGAGCCAGTGACAAGGATCGCGGGGGCGATTTAACGGGTCGGCTAATTAGTCAGCTGGTAAGGCGGACCAACGTGAGGAGGTAAATTATAATACGAGGCGGCTGCTCGCTCGGACGAACACGGACGTTTCCTATCTCTATAAGGCCACGGATCCTAGCGATCTACCTACCGCCACGACGGCCAACACGTGGCCTCTCTCGAAGATGCTGGCGATCAAACCAGCCACCAATCTCCTCGCGCCCGCTCACGTTGCATTTTTATCCCAACTGCCCGGCGCGATTCGTCTTTCCAGCCCATTGTCGTTGAATACTCCCCCTCCACGAGGAGACAGAGTCATTGGAACGGGAGAATACGCGAATTATTTATACATACCTAGCTACGTGATTATTCGCATCATCGCGTTCCAATGACTCTGTCTCCTCGTGGAGGGGGAATATTCAACGACAGGAGCACGCGCGGAGTAAAGCTGAGCCTAATTCACTACGGGTATTTTATGATTATACGGGAAGTTACAGCATCAACGTGCGTCAGATAATCAATGATTGATTCAATTATGCTACCTCGTGCAATATTCATTGACGAATTGCGAATAATTTAAATGGCCTTTAAACGATGCAGATTTCAATAGTTTCGTCGACCGAATGAAATGAATGTTCGTAAGCATTTGTCAGTCGCATATTTTGGTTCGCTTCTCGTCTGACGATACTTCTCTATCTTATTATTATTATTATTATTATTATTATTATTATTATTATTATTATTATTATTATTATTATTATTATTATTATTATTATTATTATTACATTATCAGAAGTATGATCGATCGATAATCAGTCTCAATCATTCGTGGACCTTAATGATAAAAATGCAAAAGATTTGCAAAAAATTTTGAAACATCATCGACATATTTGCGATGCAACACCAGACTTTTAGAATGAAACGGGCGATACGTTATTTGTCTCTGTGGTTGAACAGAAAGCGTCAAAAGATCGTCAGCAAACTTTCTCGATTTTATTATATAAAATATGAAGGCGTAAAATGGTAACACCAAGTCGATCATTGTTGCTGCGAGACATTTATAATCTCGTAAATATATGCGCCCAGCTATTTTATATGTATTTCTTATAATTTAATGTATCCTATTGTGCGAGTATGCGACTTAAGAAAATATTAGCCTTAGACGACTTTGTTTAAGCAATTGTTCCCATATATAATAAGAACGTTATGTAAGATGTAATAAAACACATAATTTATCGCTATACAACTAATTTGAAACTAATTCTCTCCATTCTTTTTCTCTTAACAATGTTAAATCTATCGAATCCTAAAGTCTTTGTATTATATATAAAAATATAATTCTTACAACTATTTGCAAATACCCGGCAAAAGAAAGTTTTCTTTCTAACGGACACGGACAAAATGTATTATATATTTTAAATCGGTAAAATTCAACTGACATGTTCGATGTTAATTAAGACTCTAATAATAAATGACTTTGAATTGTATTGGAGTTTAAAGATGTAAATTAATCAAGATAATTAGAAGATGAGTAAATTAAATATGTGCAATTGAATTAGATAGCAGTGAATTGTTATTTTACTATCATCGTTATACAGTTAATAATGGGAAAATTTTCTTTCCATTTTATAATGTTTTTATGCATAATCGTCATATTCATTTAAGATGACACATTAAACAAAATTTTATATACATTTGCTTAGAACAAAAGATTCAGTCACAAATAATTCTCCTTTCACAATATAGCCTTCTTTACATCAATTAACGCTACTCGCGCACAAGCAGATACACGCGCATACAGATGCGCGCGCGTATCTTACATTCTGAACGTTATATAAATTCTTCTAATATTACTTTGGCGCGTCTACAAAATCTGATAATGATATACAGATTAAAATATGTTTATAAATTGCATATCGATCATTCATCAACAATTTCTTTTAATATAAAAAGAAGCATGCATCGCTTGATAGTAATGAAAAGTATTACCGTAATATCACACCTACATATGATTCGCGAAACTATTTGAATTTTTAAAAATTATTATAATACAGTAGGCTGCGAATAACTTTTAACTGCGAGAAACGTCACATAATCAAAGGATGTAACGTCAAAAAAATCATTCGAAAAATTACTTTTTCCTTTATAACCTAGTTCGGATAATTACATTATTTAAATACACAATTATTATATTATCTAAGAAAGAGAAAAAAGAAAATAAGTAAAAAAAAAAAAAAAATAATGACGGCTAAATTTTCATTTATAAAAAGACGTGATAAACTGTTATGTAATTTAGTTGAAGTAAAATTATTGAACTAAATAACAAATGCGTTTGTTTCTTCTATGTAAGTTCACTCTCCATACGAAGCAATAATTATTCTGTAATAAATCTCATTATGATATTCCTACGGGCATAAAACTTAATATTCTTGGGATTATGCATAGATATCATTAAACAAGGGCATATAAATGAAAACACATTGACTTATAATACACTTCGGACGATTAATATCATGCGTATAAATTATCTATCAAATAGACAAATTAAAAGACTCAATCAAAGTCACTCTTTGAAAAGATTTTCTATTTATATAAATGTATGCAAACTATATATCAAATATAAATTCCAGTTGCTAAAATATGCAAATGTCTGTCATTCGTGGTGTACTCCCGTTATAATTTTCTCCCATATTATTTCTGCGCACTCTACAGCTCCACGCACAATTAATAGTAATACTGGAGCTGCGGTTACTTACATAATTCCCAAGATAAGATAAATAAAATTAATAAAGACGCGTTATAATGTACGGCTATGCCATCGATTCAATTATTTTGGGAAATTGTGCGCAGCGTTACAGAAATATTAAACTGAAAGATTTGTTTAAGGAGTCGCGAAATATTGAGAAACGATATGTGATGCGGTTTTTCTACTTTTAGAAAAATTGAAAGCTATCGATATTTAATAAGTAGAGTATTATTCGTCAGCTTTATGTCATTGCTCGTATGATCGATTAAGCAACGCATTAGATTTATAACGAATATGCTTATACATTAATTGGAAGATGAATATTGATCGAATGATATTATTTATTGCTTCTTACGATACTTACCGTACATGATAAAACTGATAATTGCTATGGACATAACAATAAATAGTCACGATGCAAATAATCTCACCGACGAACAATGTCAATTCAAAAAATTTTATTTCCTATTTTATGTAAAAAATATTCTTTCGGGTATACAATTTTAAAAATTATAATACGACAATGTGTAAAATGGCCGACATGGGCGGCTTCAAAACAAATGGAGATAACAAATGGTATAAACCGTTTTCTGACCCTTCAACGCTTTTTAATTTTATGTTAAAAGCAAATTAACGTAAAATTTAAAATCTAATAATCTAATCGAGGCACAATCGCTGAATTACGCTTTCATTGGGAAGGCGGCGCTTGTTCCGATATTGCTTTCAGCAATTCCGAAAGATTAGTTTTCAATGGCAGTTGAACCATCTTGAGGCTCTCATCCCACAATTTTTCGGCGTCCGCCAGATTCTCGGCGTAAGACGATGGCGATGCCACTGCGCACTCCCTGCATACAAAAAAAATAAAGCACATTGAGCCAACCAAGGGTATATTTTATTTAGCGCTGATTAATCCCGAGAACATTTCAAGGAATATACGTAATGGCGGTAATTGTGTAAGAGTAAAGCTTCTCGCTCATCCGACACGTCGTGGTTATTCGCAAATCTTATGAAAACTCCATGAATGCGTCATTAGCTCCATACTTTTATAAAAAGATAATAGAAATTCTTGGTTTGCTGAGGAAATCTCGATCCTCCATCGAGTCCCCGTTATCCCCCAGCCTAGCGCATCCCTTATCCGAAAAAAAAAAAGAAAAAAAAAAAAGAAATGAAAAAAAAAACTGCCTAATTATAATAATTCGAGCGCCTTAAAGAGCGTCTCGTTCCCAAGAGGCGCCGAACCTCGGTGAGCGTAAGAGAAAAGTGGAAAGCCGAAGGAAACCGCGGCGGGCCACTCCCTCCCACCCTCCCACCCTCGCTGCATGAAAACAAAATGAATAATCCCACGGGCAGATCGGCGGACTCGAGCACTGTCTTTATCAAAGAGTCTCTCGCTCACTTGTAATACAATCCGGTGTCGTTGCCCGCCGCCTCGTCGACCGCGCAGTGTATCGTCGTCTGGGCGCCGAGCTCCGGGGTTTTGATGAACAGCTTGGCGATCCGCAACATGAACTTGGCGCCAATGAACGACTTGCCGATGTGCCTGCCGAGCTCCGTCGAGATGACACCCGGATGGAGAGTGTAGGTCGTCAGGCCCTCGATACCCGAATCTGTAATTCATGATCGCAAACGACGAACATTTAACGATTTTTTTTCAAGCTTATTTAGGCGAGTTGTTGAAAACTTGGAAATATACGGGGGTTGAGGGAGGGGGATGGAGGTGTTCGCGACCTCTGTTAAATTTTGAATATAAGATTTTACTCTCTCTCTCTCTCTCTCTCTCTCTCTCTCTCTCTCTCTCTCTTAGCATAGTCGACGACCGTTCACACAAATGCCAAAAGTTACAATTCATTCTTACCTTTATGGATTCGTTAAATTTTACTCCAAATGTGAGAAACCATCGTTATCTCTTAAATTATACAAGAGACGCTTTAATGGGATCCATTTCACATGGTCGTATGCTTTATTAATCGATATATCTTTCGCTTAATAATTTCATTATAAAATTGAAATAACCTCTTTACGCAATAGTACCTTGTAAAATTTCACGACACCTATCGTAGCGTAAATTCGGTAGGTATCACTTTGTTATTATTTTGCTTTTTGGAGATAATAATAAAAATTCCTAGCATGATTTAATCATAATATTGATAATATTGATTTAGATAATATTGAAAAATAGTATTTATCATCCGAACCTCAAACGAAATAGTATTTATTTACATATCTTTATATACCAATGCGATTCACGGTCCACCCTTAACCTTTAACTTTAAATGTCACCGGATAATAATTAAAGCCTTTCGATAATAGCCGAAAAACGTATAGTTATTATCTCAGTGTGGGCTCTCTCTCTCTCTCTCTCTCTCTCTCTCTCTCTATCCCTCCCTCACTTTAATGTCCCCGGCTTTCATTGGCTGTATTTTGTCATATTTGCTAACTATATTTTTTTTTAAAGAATCAATACCTATAACTTTTTATTGCTTAATATTTTTCCGTGTATTATTATTATTATTTGAATTTTTTTATTCGTTTTTATGAATCACCTTTGAGTTTACGAGTCAGCTCCTTCGTAAATAATACGTTGGCTAATTTGCTCTGCACATAAGCTTTGAATGCTGTGTACGAATTATCCAAGTTCAAGTCGTCGAAGTGCATTCGTCCACCTGAAATAAGTTACGGCAACGTTATTAATATACGATCATACATCGGCGAAATACAGTGAGAAAAAAAAGAAAAAGAAACCTTCTTCCCGTCACCCGTTCGACACAGAGGATACAAGAATAATGCTTCCCCGTGCTTTATGTGCACAATAGCTGATAAAATAACCGGATAGTTGTTGATTAATTTTACATATTTTATTCCCTTATTTCACGCACACGCACACGCACACGCAAGCACACGCGCGCGCACACCCATCCCTACCTCTCCTCCTCCAACTCCTATCCTCCCACGACGGAATATAAAATCACTCGTCGCAAATGTAAGAAAAATCGTGAGCGCTTAAAATTCAGCAGAGTACCGATAAATGCGAAATTCTGATTTTCGCCGTAAAATGAAGAGGCGAAGGCGCGCGCGCGCGCGCGTATAATCGGTATAAAACTCGAATTATCTCCTGATCGTGTTAATTCTTATAAAAACCAAGATAACGTACCCGATGTAATAACGTATTATTACACGATCTCGTCGTAAGCGATTACACAACAAGTAGCGGAGGACCTCGTCGATTTTGTCCCTCTCTCGCTCTCCCATTAAGACACACGCTACCGCAGACTACCGTTAACAAATCGATAAGAATCATAATATCGTCTAAGATTAATTAGAGTCGCGTCTACGTCAAGCGCGCCGAGAGCACGAAAGGACAGCACCGATGGGCATCACCTGGACTACCGAGGGACGAATCCTCGACTTACTCGTGTGGGCAATCGACGAGACGTTAATGATCCTGCAACCCGGGGCGGAGGCCTTGATCTTGGGCAACAGGAGGAGCGTAAAGAGAAAGTGCCCGAGGTGATTGCTCTGGAACTGGAGCTCGTAGCCGTCCTCGGTCTTCTGCTGCGGGCACATCATCACCCCGGCGTTGTTTATGAGCACGTGGATTTGGTCCTCGGTGCTCGACAGCAACGCCGCGCACTTGCGCACGCTCGCGAAGCTACATAAGTCGAGCTTGTAAACGGCCAGTTCGCCCGGCTTGCCCTTGAACTGCTCTCGCTGCGAGCTTCGCGTTGACCATGAAAATGAGCAAAGGGAAAGTAGCTTTTGTCAATGGTGCGGCCTAATATTGCCTGACCACGAACGACTCTTCTTCCATTGATCGATAATATATCGATGGAATATTTGGCATTGAGAATGTGTATTTACTTACAATTGCCTGAGTCAATTGGAATTGATAATATTTGAGATATTACTTAACTTTGATATTGAAATTGAAAATTAATTTCCTTGTATTATCGAGCTATACGTTAGACGACTAAAGAGTGACGTCTTATCGCATAGAAAGTTACCGTTAGCATAGTTGGGCCGCGTTAGTGTAATTATTTAGTGAAAGACACAGTGTCACTCGCTACATTAAAACGAAGAAAGGTACATTCCTCGAACAAATTCTTTTTCACAATCTTCAATGCTACTCGATGCACTCACTATTCGTATAATTTTGAATAAATGAAAGATAATTTTAATGCTCCCGTAAATTGAAAATGGCAACTGTTTATAATGTTTATGATCCACATGATTATCATTATATAAATTTATCAAGCAATTAATTGTGATTTACATGTACGGCATTAATAAGTCTTCGAGCTCGATAATCAGACATTATAAAAATCATGTTCATAAAATTTCTTAGTTTTATCATTTTGTTCGGCATTCGCTATGTAAATTTACGCTTATCATTAGACATACATGAAATGATTATATAAAATATGGCGGGTAACATGACCGTGGACTCGTTACCCTATCGTAATATCAATGTCAATTATATGTCATTATGATACACTAAAGCTTTAATAAGCCAACGAAATATATGCTTTCGAGAATTTTGAGAAAAGTTTTCCTAACTGCTTTCACTACTTCTGGCGCCAAGTTAATAATAACGTAAAACAATTAATAAAAGACATATTTAATGAAGAAAATTTCCTTCGTATTTTGAACTTTAATTAATTTTACTACTATTTTTAATTTTCATTTGAAATTAACGAGTCGGAATTTGAAAAGTAAGAGAAAATTTTAATCCATCACGATTTTTCCAACAATTTCAAGTTTTACACTTCAAGCTTCATTCCAATATGCTTACATCGAGGAATTTGGCCGACGTAATTGCAATAATATGCCGCCTAAATGCATTTATCATTACAGTTAATAACTATGTTAAAGTAGCTTACTACTCGCTGCTACACTCGCAAAGATTATTTATAATAATATATATCATAGATAATATAATATAATAACGCAAATGTAACATAACATAACATGAATAATGATAAATAATAAAGCGTTTTTAAATTATTTATACACGTATGTTTCTACATTAACGCATAATGTACATACAAAGCTTGAACAACCATCGCACTTTGAATAATTCCATATAATTAAAAAATCAATAGAATAAAGCTTCGATCGATAGTATTTGGTTCGACGACTGACGCTTGAGATTTAAATATAAAATCTGTCATGCAAAATCTATCATAAATTATATTCTATAATTTTTCTATTATAAATAGTAAATATCGTGTTATATGCATATTTATATAAATATATATATGTATATGTAAACTGTTTATCAATTTTATTTACTATTTATCTGTGTTTCTATTTATTTATTTTTTTTTTTTTTTATATCGTGAAATAAATATAAATAATTTTATCTATAATGAAGAATTGATATAAAATTAATGAGGCGCGTAAGTTTGTTCCATTTTAATAATCAATGAAAAAAAACACATATTCTGCTTTTTTTTAAGCAAAACAATTCAACTTGGTTGCGTCTAATCTTTATTCCTTCTAGATTGAATATCAATATGGGGGAGTAGTAATTAATACGCTTATACAAAGTATCACTTTCGTTAGTTGTAAAAACAACAAAATTAAAAATAATATTTCATTTATATTAGTAGTATTTTGTGAGATTACATTATGTTGCGAGTGTAGACTTGGCGTCATTTTAAATAAACAAAAACATTTTTACTGTAATTAATCTATTGAAATGATTGTACAATATAAGAAAAAAATATCTTGTAAATTAATTAGTAACTTATATATGTTCCTTTCTTCTTGTCCGAGAGAATTTTCAGATACATTTATTTGTCAAATTTAATATAAAATATTTTTTGATTTCTATTAAAATATCCGCTTATTATTTAATTATTTAACTAAATTCTAAATATTATTCTTAATATCGCTTATATCGCTTATATTAATATTGATCGCTTGATAATAATATGTATCTATTTACAATTAATGCGAGAGTAAAATTTACTATAAATAATCGTTTATAAATGAATATACTATTTAATGTGCTTGAATAGAGAAATAAAACGTATAGAGGTAGACTTGTACTCGTTAAAATGGAATTTTTTCATCACCCGCGTCTTTTAATGCAACACGATTAATATGTTCTGTTACATAATCAACTAACGGATTTGATTTATGTCCTATTTTTAACCATGGACGGTAATGTTAAATTACTTACTTTGAAGGTGGCACATTCTTAAGTTCTTCGATAGCTGCGTTCGCTTTTTCAATGTTTCTACATGCCAATATCACCCTTGCACCTAAAAAACATTAATATATTTACGTCTATTCGTATATATGGTCATAATATATATTAATAATACCAAGTCAGTGCTTTTTAAAGTACGTGAAATTAATATGTTAACGATTGAGTAGATGGCATTTTTAATTATAAAAATAATCGTTACGATCATATTTTCATATTTCGTTCCAAAGCTTTGCCTTTTCATCCAATCGGAGGAGATAGATAGTTTTTAAAATTTATCTTAAATTTTTCAAATCTTACGTCATTAAATTTCATATTATAGACCTCTAATTAATTCACCTTTATTATTACGAGTAATGCGCACATTTTGAAAATTCTAGTTTGTCACATTTTATACGAAGGAGCTTGACACTGACAAGTAGCAAACTGGAAAATATACGTAAATCGAAAACTTATAGTCTATTTAATTTGAATTTGTTTCATATAAAACAAGGACGCGAGAAACACGGTTGAACAAAAATATGCATCGTAATTGAAAATCTTATAATTAAAATAAACGATAATCTCGACATAATTAAAAGCATTAATTGTTTTGCTGATATCTTTGTCATGACATTGAATTTGTTTACAACGTGAATGTTTATTGTACGATTTCGCGGTTAACATCAAATAACATCGCGTACTTTTTAATTACTATCTTATAACATATTTTCCCCGACTAGCATATCTTTTGTTTATGAATTTTCATGCGAGTATTATTGATACGATTATATAATTCATTTCCTTTTATTAGTCGCATAATAGCAAATATTATTGTTTACGCTATTATTTGATGTTTGAAAATGGAAAATACTAGTCTTTTCTCATTTTGGAGTACACATAAAACAAATATATTAAATAAAAAAAATAAATAAAACAACAATACGTTCTTGTTTTTGCATATTATCTGCAGTTTATAATTTTAATTATAAATCAATATTGTTAATTTTATATTTAACCTTTAAGTGTAATATAAAGTCGAACTTTGCTATCGACCGTGAAATAATATTAAAACATTTTTCGTATCTCTGTTAAAATTATGATAACATTATGAAATTACAGAATAAATAATACAACTATTTTATTATAATAGTATTAATTTTTTAATTTATTTAGTAATTTATTATTCCATTATAATAATGCTTACATTATTTGCGTAAAATTTTATGAAAATCGTACTAATGGACTGAATAAATAATATTGACGAGATCAATGATTTTACAATGGCATAAGATATTATAAGTTCCCAGTAGTTTACAATATTTTTTTTATATTTTCGCTTGGAAACAAATTAATAAAAGGCCGAAGAAATTACAAGATTTTATGGAAAGCTTAATGTGCCGTTATTTAATTTCATAAAATACTCTTAAATATATTTTGTAAGGTTCTTGTATAATAAAAATGCTACGTTATATTTATATATATATATATATATATATATATATATGCATACATACACTGGTATAAAAAATGTTTAAAGCGTCTGGCATTTGTTGAGTTAATAATATGTATTTGTCTTGGGCGAGGGGAATGGGGTAGCGGGAAGTTGCTGGAGGTTGGGGGGGGGGGAGAAGAAACAATATTCTTTCGTAATAACGTTCAAATGTATACCTTTAAAAGAAAGTTTTAACGTACATATATATATATATATAATTAGTTTGGTGTCACACGAGATGCAAATCACGCTCGTAAAGGTAAAGAAATTCTTTCGTAAATTCGTTTTAATGTCGATTGCCTTCGCATCATCACGAGATAGCGCGATTGTACGAACGATGGTTTGACGTTTGAAAAAAAAAATTTGTTGCTCAGTGTAGCCAATATTATCTTTAAAGTACTTTATCGAACAAAAATTTATTTAGTTACGACTTTAATTTAGTATAAAATTCGAATTTCTTTCCCACTCCCCATAACAACGTTAATACAAGATAATGTAAGGTTTTTAATTTCTATTAGGTACGACGACGTACGATATCGGTCATACAAAAACCACTAAAAAGTACGCTATCGATAAATTATTACTTGATTTATCAATATTACCAGATCCTCCTACATCGTTATCCCTATAATGATTCCTCTATTGCCTCCTGTATGCGCGACTTATTCTTTCGTTCATTGTTTATCATTACTTTTTTCATTTTTCATTTTTCATTTTTCATTTTTCATACCCGAGCCAAAGGCTTAAATATAATTATCATTTACATAATAATATATTTGAAAGATAAGGAGTGGTCGAGAGGCTTCGCAAGTACGTAAAAACTTTTCATAATAACGAACGAGAACTTGGCTAACGAATAATATTGTCCTTTTTAAGTTTAAAGCAAATTGGCGTGAAATTATTGTAAAAAATGCCGTTCGTTAATGGAGAATTTTTGTATTAATAGTTTCGCGATATCGTGAAAATCGGCAGCTTTTCATTTCAAAACTTTGCCCCGTAAAGTATAATCATTATTCCGAACCGAATTCCGCCCATTAATAATGCCCACATACCGCTGGCTACCCACGTAAAGCCAAACAGTCGCCTCCTATGCACAGAATTCATAATTATCATTCAATTTCAATACCACCGATGACAACAACAACAACAACAACAACAACAACAACAACAACGATGACAACGATGACAACGATGACAACGATGACAACGATGACAACGATGACAACGACAACTATAATAAAAACAATAGCAATAGCAATAATAATAATAATAATAATAATAATGATAGAAATATGAGGACGCGCGGGCGCAGATCGGGAGCTGAAAACAAGAGCGTGTGACGTTACCTCGCCTGTAAAGGTCACGGGCGGTCTCCTTGCCGATGCCGGTGTTGGCCCCGGTGATGATGACCGTCTTGCCGACCATGCGCACCTTGCTCTGGCAGCTGCTACTGAACGGCCACATCGCGCCTCTTCCTCGGGACTAACTAGCCGACGCGGACAAAGCATCACCCGGCGCGTACGTTATTCGGCCGGACGCGGGCTGCGGGACATAGACGCCGTCGTACGCCTGCGTGCGGGGCCACGCCGAGGAGGATGGATGGAGAAACCACCGTTAGCGCTGTCCCCGGCTCCCGGCGTCGCGTTCCGCTGGATCTTACCGGCGACCAATCGGGTCCCGCGGTAAACGGGCAGGCACGTTGTCGAATGGCCGGCCGTGGCGATACGATAAGGGACGTGGGGGAGCCGGGGAGGAACGCGCACTCGGGTACCGCTAGGCCGTTATTCTTGTCGGATGCTTCGATGCGGATGCGCCTCGTATTTTCGATACTTGACGGCGCGTCGCGATCGTCGTTTCCACTCGCTTTCACCCTCGATTATTAACAGGAAAATTTTACCGGTTTGATGGATGAGGATGAGGAGGAGGAGGAGGAGGAGGAGGAGGAGGAGGAGGAGGAGGAGGTGGTGGTGGTGGGAGTGGGTGGGGTGGGGGTGG